GATGGATGGATGGATGGATGGATGGATGGATGGATGGATGGATGGATGGATGGATGGATGGATGGATGGAGTACATATTATGTGGTGTATTCTGTAATGTCTGTGACGTGTATTATGTGACCTGTTGATATTTATTTTATGACGCACCATTTTTATTTCAATGACTAATTTCATTGAACTGTCAGTGAAATGACAATAAAGTCTGCTGGAATTCCACATAAATGATTTAGATTTACAAAAGGAAAAATATTACAAACGAGAACATCCTGAGTGATTCCACTCAGGAAAGGAAGATACACGAATGAGACTCACAGAGATGTATTTCTTAAATCACAGAAGAAGAAGAAAACAACAAGAAGGAAATGGTCTAAAAACCATGAATGAATCTGAATGTTTACAGTTTCAAACATATGGTTTCAATTTGTAGATCAATAACTATTTTCCTTACTGGCATTCTCCTCAAATCATCTTTTACTAATAATTGTTTGTCCTTTTTACATTTTCTCTCTGCTCAGACGTTGTATTTTCCTTTTACTAAAAGATTCAAAAGTTTTGTATTTACCGAGCAGCTTGAAAGAACAAATTGATTGCTATTTTCTGAAGTTGTTCTCTGTTGATGGAAAATAGCTAAAAGCTACAAAAACAGGGGTTCTCAAAAAGCTGACGACTAAACGCTGAAACATCATACAACGCAGTCGGCCAGGTTAACAAAGGAGAAATATTGAGAAAGAAAGGATAAACGAGGTATTTACAACACAAAAGCTTCTAGTTCAGGATTTGTGTAGCTGTTTTAATAGAAACAGAATATATATATATATATATATATATATATATATATATATAGAGAGAGAGAGAGAGAGAGAGAGAGAGAGAGAGAGAGAGAGAGAGAGAGAGAGACTACACCTTATTTTATATACAGGTTTCAAAAAATAACATTGCGAGGTACTGATGTGGTGTTGTGAATGTTTTGTATAAATGTTTGTTTTAATTTTAAGCTAATTACTGACAACTAAAGAGACATACAATAACTATATTTTATTCTTATTAGTATCTCATTGTGCTGTGATTAGACGGTGAACAGCATCTGGAGGGAATCTTCCAAATATCTCTGAACATCTGGGAGGTTGTCAGTTTCCAAACCTGAGGCTCCCAGTCTGGTTGCTTCATTTTTGAACATGTGGGAGATGACTAGCAGTATCATCTCAAATCAACCCTCCTCAATTGAGATTTGTAATTCAAGAAAGCAACAGTGATTACAGCAACACCAGCTCTCCCCTATGGAGCATCTCACTGGACAAAAACTGCTGCGCTTGAAAGGAACAGGGCCAACCTGAGGTGTATGGGGCTCTACACAGAATTTAATTAGGAGACTCAATACAGTGAAAAAGATAGTGCCATCAACTTTTGAAGTGAAGTCTGATAGTTATCAGTTAGTGTCTTATCAGCTGTTGCATCAGTAACAAATTATGAAGAAAGAAAAGTGCCAAGTCTTCATCGACTTAGTTCACTGTGGTGACCCCTGAAGAAGGGATAAAACAAAAGAAAAAATAGATAAATTAAAACAAATAAATAAATAAAACAGTTCCTTCTGACATTGCTAGGCTTGTCATTGTTTTCGTAACTGCACAGTTTCTGTGCAACATGTGTGCTGAGCATAAGCAGGTCGTGTATATGTCGATGATGACTGCCACAGGTATCAGTTTGTCAGGAATGGAGTTGTTAGAAGTGTTTAAATGGTCTGAAGCAAGCTCCAGTAAAGCGAACCACTGCTCATTTAAAAGGTTACACATATGGACAATGAAAAAGATCAGTGCTGAGGCCACTGGAGCACACACACGAGGCTTCCTCCTCTCTCAAAATGGCCCTGAGCAGAGGACTGCATGGTCTTTCTTCAAAGCTGACCACACCTGCAGGAAGTGATTTTCATCAATGACTACTGGGCAGCACGGTGGTGAAACTGGTAGAGCTGCTGTCTCTCAGCGAGCAGGTTACCCTGGTTCAAATCCCAGTCCAGGGGCCTTTCTGGGTGGAGTTTTCATGTTCTCTGTGCTGCATGGGTTTTCTCCAGGTACACAGGTTTCCTCCCACAGACCAAGAACCTGCATGTTAGACTGATTGGTAACTCTAAATTGTCTCTAGGTGTGAGTGAGAGAGTGAATGGTTGTTTGTCTGGTTAATTTCTATGTGTCCCTGTGACGGACTGAAGACCTGTCCAGGGTGTACCCCGCCTCTCGCACAGTGACCGACGGATGGATGGATGGATGGATGGATGGATGGATGGATGGATGGATGGACTATTGGAAATCCCAATACTCACCGTGTGACCAGCTCTCAGCCAGTAGACCCTCATGTTCTAACATGTTTCAAACACTAGTGTTGTTGGCTGTTGTGAGATGCAGGCGTGTAACTTTAAATGTTTCTTAACAGAAACCTCTTCAGAACAGAAACTCTGCCTTGTCTTCTTCTCTCGTCTAACAGGTCTATGATATAAAAACACCATATAAAGTATAAAAAATACAAACAATCACATCCAAGTAAGAAAATACATATTAAGATAAAATATATATTTCAGTTAATGTATTTTAGCATTCAGACGTTATTTAGTTTTTCTAACAGCTGTGTTGTAGTTTGTTTAATATTTTGTTGTTGAACGAGTTGAGAGTCATTAAATATAATTTCTTTTACATTTATTAATACTTTTGTTGGATGCAACTGGGACCCTGTGTACACAATTTTGTTCCATCCTTGAATCCTTGAATGTGCAGACACGTTTTATTTTGTAATTGCATGTTAAATTATGTGACTTATTATTTAATTTAAAACTTGGGAATTAGGGAAACAAATTTCTTATTGTTGTCTGTGTGCTTCAGGACTGATGCCATTAAAAATATAACTAGGTAACTTTTACTTAAAGCAAATTTTAAATGATTTACTCGTTACTTGAGTAGATTTACTAACTTTACATTGTGTAAAATTTAAACAGAGTTGCTGTACTTTCATCTGAGTGTGTTATATTAGTACTTTTTCCACCTCTGGTCATGTACTTTTGCCGTTATTAAAAAAAACTTTAATCCAGAAGCAAAGATTAAACATTTGAGCAAAACTAAAACTCATTAAGGCTTATTTGCTTTAAATTAAAAATTATGACAAATAACACGTGTAAAACTCCAATGAGAAAAGAAAGCAGTAAACCCAGTGTGGAGTATGTACATGATCGTGTACCTGATGTTTTAGCAGAGTCTGTGTCCACCAGTAGGATATCGTCATTGATGTCTTTTTTCTTTCGGATGAGTGACAGCAGAACACTGAGGGGGAGACAAATCAAATCTGATCCAATGTCTTTCTGGTAGTTTGGTTTCATAAAATCACAACTAGGACTGCTCACACCCTGCCTATCTACTTCTGAAGATGTTCTGTCTAATGTGCTACGTATTGTCATCACTGACATTTGTGCTCTACATTTAACCCATGAGATACACACAAGTGGAGCAGCATGCAGCTATTTAAGGTCCTGGGGAGAAGATGGGGATTAGGTGTCCTGCTCAAGGTCACATGCATGTGGACATGGTGCAGAATCAAACCTGTGACTTTCTGGTCCCAAGTTGGCTGTCCTACAGTTGCACAGTTGTTCCACAGCTGCACCGTGTGTGCCCTAGATCCTGAGATCCAGGATGTTTCAGCACTCCATGTAATAACCCCACTCCCCTTGACAGATTTATTGTAAATATTTTTCGTCATCCAACAATGTTCAGTCAGGTCATCTGGACCGTTTTGTTTTTTTGTTGAGACGTTTCGTCCTTTATCCAAAAGACTTCCTCAATCCGAGAAGCCACCAAACAAAACTGATTTCCACCAACAGCATGGTGGCATAGTGGAAAAAAATGGTCTACTGGTGCCAAGATGGCCTCTGGGGCCTGCCCTCTCCTCCAGGGCCTGCCCTCTCCTCCGGGGCCCGCCCTCTCATCTGGGGCCTGCCCTTTTCTCTGGGGCCTACCCTCTCCTCTGGGGCCCGCCCTTTCCTCTGGGGCCCGCCCTTGTCAACTCTTCTGAGACAGTCATGCCAAAGTGGTTGAAAACACCAAAGTTCATGTTCAATAATCCAATAAACTTTAGAGTTTCGAATGACTTTGGCATGAGGGTGGACCTCGGAGGAGTGGGTGGGCCCGGGAGGAGAGGGCGGGCCGCAGAGGCCATCTGAGCGCCAGCAAACTGGATTTTTCCACTATGGAGTATGCTGTTTGTGGGAATCAGTTTTGTTTGGTGGCTTCTCGGATTGAGAGAGTCCTTTGGATGAAGGACGAAACATCTTAGCAAAAAAGAAACCATCCAAATGACCTGACTGAACAATGTTGGATTTTATACCTGGATTATTGAGCATGAACTTTGGTGTTTGAACCACTTTGGCATTTTTCATTCATATTTACTTAGAATCATTCAGTGAATATGAATGAAAAATATTCACAATAAAATTGAATTATTATTATTATTTTTTTTTAAAACTTAGAATCATTCTGTGAATGATACGTCAACAAGGCTTCATGTCAAAACCTTTTTGAATTGGCATACAGAGCAAAGAGATCAAACCTGAGGGGGTTGGAAGCTGAAGCTGGAGCTGGAGGAGGTGGAGGTGGTGGTGGAGGGGGAGGTGCTGGAGCTGGAGGTGGGTTGACAGCAGCCTGCAACTTTTTTTGAAGCTCCTCAACTGTGGAGCAAAACACACTCAATCTGGGAACACACTCAACAACATAAGAAAAGTGTGTTAGATTAAGGAGCCAGGTTGTAAAATCTCTGAAATAATCTCGTTTATGTAAAACAGAGGCTGTTGTAGCCTTCACAAAGTGGGTTTCTACTTGTGTCAAGTTTAGGAAGAAACATAAATGTCTACTGCAAAGGCTGCAGGTCCAGTTGGTGTCAGCTCCTAAAAGATTCAATGAGCCAGATTTGTGGGAAGCTTCATCACCTCTTCAGTGTAAATCTCAGAAGCTCTAGTGATGCAGGCTACACCCTGTTTGTCTGAACTAATAAAAATCTTCTCCATCGGCTGTCAGTGGCTGCTTGCTTTAACATCCCACAACAAAACGTCCTCAAGAGACACCTTCCAGGACCTGCTGACGTTTGTTTACCAGCCTCATGTCATCTTCACTGAGCAGCAGCTCTGTGCTGTGTTCCAACGATTAAATGTTGTCTTTAATACACATATATTCCAGTACAGGCAATACGTTTTATTGTTTCCTATCCAAATTGCATTTAAAGAGATGACATTGCCGAATGTCTTATTTCATTTAGATGAGCAGATGGATTTGATGGTGTGAAATGCCATACAGAGTAGTCTCACGTTTAAATTCTTAATCCTTACCTGTGAAGCGGAGATCCTTGACTTCCTGTTCAGCCTTGGAGCATCGAATGCTGCTCTCTTTTTTGTCTTCCTCCAAGAATTCCAGTTTACGCCTCAATGCTGTTATCTCCTTCTGAGCCCCACAGCTCTTCAGCTTTTCCTCTAAATGCTTAACCTGAGAGAGAAACAAACATAAGAAGTATACAAATTAAGGATGCATGATATTGGATTTTTGGCCGATATCTGATATGCCAATATGTTAAAAATTATTTGGTTGATAACTGATACCAATACCAATAGTTTTTTTCCTAGACCTATTTACAGAGACTACACAGTTTTCTCTGTGTGGAATTAAAATACTACAGTATTCTGCATGGTCTTTGTCAGTTTGGCTTGTTACCAAATGCAGATGCCAAAAAGGGTCTGTAACTGATGTAACACTTCAACTTGGATTATGTTTATTATCAAATTTATTAATGGCATTTATTCTCTCTAACACAATATCGACACTTGAACAGTGTAAATTTGTAAACTTTCACAAATCTAAACTCAACTTGTTCACAAGAGACAAGTGAAAGCACACAAGTAGTAGTGCATTAATACCAGTAGATATACTTGACAATTTCTTAAATTAAAATTTAACTTAAAACTGAAGCTTTTGATATCAGTGAGTTATTTTGATGGAATGACAAATCTCTGATATTTAACTTTATCGCTAATATCGGCCGATCCCGATACCATGCCAATAATATTTTGTATCCCTAATACAAATACAGTTGCATGGGCTCAAATGCTAACACATGCTGCTAACTTATAGTATAAGACTCTAATAAACTTAGTGTGCTGCATTAGCTCTCAAGTTATAGGCTAGTTAACGATGCTGGCCAAGTCATACTCCTGCCAAATTGTACACCTAACTCATATTACGTAGTTTTTGTTTTATATACATTGTTACGGCCCCTGGCCTCTAGAGGCCGTGCAGTCTCTCTTTGTTCATGCAGATTCAGGTGTGGGAGCACACTCAGCTGATTGGCTGCCAGGAGGCTGCAGAGCGGCACCACCACTGAACCAGCAGGAGATCACCACACCAGTCAGATGATGATGAGGTCCACCTGCACTCCACCTGGAATCATTCCTTCAGTGGGGCAGTTTTAGAAAGAGGTTTGCACAGCTGACCCCCACTTTGGTTGCTGTAGCCTTTTGAGGAGTGTTTGGGCAACCTTTAGAGTATTTTGTACTCCTGATCCCTTTTTGCTCTGCTTAGCAGCTTGGTTTTGACTTTGACTGGTTGTTCAAATTTAGAAACTTGTACTTGGAAAGTTTCATGAACCTTTAATGATTTGCTTGAGTTGCTTTGAGTCTGGACTGGACTGACTTGTTTGGTTATTTTTTTATTTTTGTTATTTTGTCGAGGCAGCACTTGACCCACTTTAGTATATTTTTGTTAGTCCAAGTTTGTTGGGTCAAAGAGTATTTGTCTGTGGAACATTTTTCTTTGTAATAAACCTCTTTAAAATCAAACAACTCCATTTTTTTCTCCTCTGGACACATTTTATGTTACACCCCATGATACCCTAGACCTGGAGGCGTAACATACATGTACAGCTATAATTCAGAATACAAAACAAATTAAAATATTTCCTCTAACATACAAAGCTCTCAACAACCTAGCTCCATCTTACATAACAGATCTTATTGTTACATATTTTCCTAACAGAGCACTTCACTCTCAGACTGCAGGCTTACTTGTGCAGGTTTACTTATGGTTCCTACAGTTTCCAAAAGTAGAATGGGAGGAAGATCTTTCAGTTATCAGGCTCCTCTCTTGTGGAACCAACTTCCAGTTTCTGTCCGTGAGGCTGACACATTGTCTACGTTTGACTAGGCTTGTTATTTTAGTTAGTTGGTTTGTTTTTTCCTCAATCCTATAGTTAGGGTTGACTTCGGTTTCTTGACAATCCTTTAGTTATGCTGCTATAGGCTTAGATCTCTGGAGGACAAACTTACCACATATGTACTATCCATGCTTATACCTGTAAGTATTGAGGTCATTAGTGTGTTTTGCTTTTCCTCTTATAGAAACTAGACATGGACCAATCCTACATTTGTCTCCGTCTCTTTCCTGTCCCTACAAACACCTGTCAGTCAAGGCAGATGGCTGCCCATCCTGAACCTGGTTCTGGTTCTGCAAGAGGTTTCTTCATGTTAAAAGATGATTGTTCCACTGTTAACCACTGGTTGCTCAGAGTGGGGAGTTGCCATGAATTGAAGCTTTGACACAGTCTGCTGGTTTTCTTAGATAAAAAAAAAATACATGTTCTACTTTGGGTTTTATAATTTACTGTATTATTTAATGTTTTATATCCAGAATAGGATTGACTTCTGTTTAGTTCTAATCTGGATCTAATTTGGATTTAGGATTTGGACATGCTTTTTCTTTAGTACAGTGTCCTGAGATGACTTGTTATGAACTGGGACTATACAAATAAACTGGAAGTGAATTTGGTGAAAGTACAAATGAACCTGGAGTCTTTGTTTACCTTTTATTAGTAGTGTTAAAAACAGTTGTGGAAGGAAGAGAAGAAACATACCCAGGATTATTATGGAATTGCTACAAAGATAAGATGCACTGTAAATATTTTAAATCTACTAAATAATCTGAATTAGATTGTTGTGTTGCTGCTGCTTCTCAAGTGACAATTTCTGCTAAACAGCAGAGGTGATCTGCTGAAATCATGTCATTTACTCTACAATGGTTATTCCTTTACCACCGCTTTAATTGTTCCTAAAATGAAGGATATGGCTCACCTCCACCAGAGCGCTGAAGAGACCAGTGATCCCACTCAGCTCTAATTGTTTTCCATCAGAGCCACAGAAAAAGTGGGGGTGGGTCTTACAGTTCTATTGGTGCTTTAAATATTATTCTATCTGGTCAATGCATATGAAACATTTTACCAACCATTTCCCCTGTGACTCAAAAAACAAACAAAACAACTTAAAGTCCCTGTTTTGATTAATGTGTGTTTAACTATGTGAGCCAGAAAGATGGAATGAACAACAGCATGATCTATTATATTGTTTTTCTTGTGAGTCAACCAAAGTAAAATCTATCATATAAAAGTAAATTACTTCCAAAAGTATTCACAAAAACATAAAAGTCACACAAATTCACATTTCAAATTGAACAAGTAGAAATATGCTAGGCATACAAGTTGTCAAATGTTTTCTTCTTCTTGTGGCGTTTTCAGAGTCACTACAGTGCACATTTGAATCACCTGCCGTGGACGGATCAGTCAGCGTGAGTGCACGGCTCATCGTGCCTGTGTGCATGACTTCTGAGACTCTTCATGCTACAGCCTCACAGATGAACTGCTGCATTTGAGACTGGCCCTAATCCATTCTCTGTGTCCTAAGAAATTGTGGAAAGTCCTTGTTTAAAATTTTGCCATTTAACTACAGTATTAAGAGTCAACCCTGTCTGTATGTTAGCAAAATAGCTCATAAATTACCCCAAAACAATATTGAAACTATAGAGAAAAAATATTTTGATATATCTGGAAAACTATAAAACTTTAGAATGCTCCCAATCTAAGATGTGTGGCACAGCTGACTGGATAAAAAAAAACACAACCATGTCTGCGTGTGTAGTCCATTATTCCTCCACAGTCTGAAAACAAGCATGTAGGTTTACTGGGAACTCGAACAGTCTCTATAGTGAGAGTGTATGGTTGTTTGTCCAGGGTGTACCCTGCCTTTCACACAGTGACTGCTGGAAAATGGAAAATCTGGTAAACATAAATGGATGGATGGATTATTTGTTCCTAGATTTTTATTTTAGAAAAATCCAGGCAGCTAAGCTAACCTAATACTGGTAATTTAAGTTGCATAATTTTATGTACTCCTATATTTGTTCCTGATTTTGGTATAAATGAAAAAGATTTGATACAGTAAAGAACCTAAAATTATTGTTTTAAATAAATGTTCTAGTTGTTTACATTGTTGTTTAATCTTTTCATCTCATCAGTTACATAAATGAAACAACAGTTATCACCATTTCAATAGAAAAATTGTTTCTGAATTGAATCGTGACACCAAAAATCGGAATAGAATAAAATCAAATAGAATCGCCAGACACTGAGATTCGCACCCCTAATCTGGATGGACAAAGGAAAAGTTTACAAGATAGTGATGAGACCAGCTATGTTGTATAGTCTGGAGACAGAGACATGGACAAAAAGACAAGAGAAAGAACTGGAAGTGGCAGAAATGAAGATGTTGAGGTTCTCCTTAGGAGGGACAAGGATGGAAAAGATTAGGAATGAGATCAGAGCTACAGCACAGGTTGAACAACTGGGAGATAAAGTTAGAAAGACCAGCCTGAGATGGTGTGGACATGTCCAGAGGAGGAACAGTAGTTTGGACATGTCCAAAGGACAGACAGTGGGTATATTGGTAGAAGACTGTTAGAAATGCAGCTGCCAGGAAAAAGACAAAGAGGAGATATATGGATGCAGTTAGAGAGGACATGGAGGACAGAGTGAGATGGAGGAGAATGACTCACTGTGAAGACCCTTGCAGAGGGAAAAGCCAAAAGAAGAAGTTTAAGAAGTCTAGGACGCAGTTGCAAATGGAGGGGCTTAGTCGTACTAGTGTAAGAAATTTGTCCATCAGGGTTTGGAGGATCATGGTGATGAAGGCAGATGTGAAGTCCACAAAGAGGACGAGTGGAAGAGTGAGGGCTACTGGCCGATAGTCATTCAGACCAGTCACTATGGAGCTCTTTGGGACTGGGATGATGGTGGCAGTCTTCAGGCAGATGAGAACTGTTGCCAGGGTGAGTGAGAAATTAAAAATGTCAGCCAGCACCTCGTAGAGCTGATTGGCACAGTCGTTCAGCACCTTCCCGGCTATTGGCAATATATAAATAAACTGAACTGAATTTAACCAGCTTTTGTTCTTCTTCTTCTTCTTCTTTCGGCTGCTCCCTGCGTTAGGGGTCGCCACAGCGAACTTAGTCGCACGAAGACTTGGCAGTTATTTTTACGCCAGATGCCCTTCCTGAATCAACCACAGAGCAACGAGCTACCACAGCCCTCTCTGTGGAGCAGAGAGCTGCTATCTAGGACACCCAGAGGAGCAGATGGTGGGGGTTAAGGGCCTTGCTCGAGGGCCCAG